TTCAAGTAGCGTTTTGGTTTGTTACCTCCCTTTTGTCTTCTCTCCTGTAAACCTGAGCATGAAGCATGATCATATTTTTGTGCCAGTATTTGGAGGAAAACTTAGGGTGGCACAGGCACATGCATGTATTTGTGAACAAAAAATTTTCATTTTGACCAAGGTCTGTCACTGCCCATCATCTGTCATTTCTGACACTCATCAGAGAGAAGAGCAATATGCAGTGACTTACCTAATCAGTCATCGCATCAATAGTAAATGAGGGCACAATATTTCTATATTATCTCACATTGTTTGTGTGATTTTTTTTTTGTAAAAGGAAAATAAATGTCTCCTGCTTCCACCACAACAAACAAACAGAACGATTCACTTGCTTATGATTAGTAAGTGGACTAGACATTCTTGACATTTAAAAAGCTTCCCAAGGAGATGAATAAACCAAACTGAAGAACAATCCTTGGAAGTGTTCCCTTAGAAAATGCAGGAAACTTTGGGCATTTTCCCACAAACATTCTTAGCATTTAGGAGGAGGCGGTGTGGCTCGTTGTCACCTTCTTCATAGATTCATTTTACATGTTTATATCCTGGCAGAGCGCTCTCTTCTCGTGCCCTTTGCTTGTGTTCAAACCGCAGCCCGATCCAGGTCAGACTGGGAGTAGACCCCTGAACACAGGCAGAATAACAACGGGGAGTAAGGGGAGTGAAAGGAAGGATGTCCTGGAGGGCAGCTAGACCTGAGACCGCATGCAGAGTGGGTGACTGGAGGAGTCCTGGACAGGTTTATTTTTCACATTAACGGAGGCATATTCAGTAAGTTCATTTTCTACCATTGGCCCCCTTCTTTGGCATCTTTCTGCAGAGGCAGGATGATTTAGTGCAGCATAAATGAGGACGTCTTGGCTTTCGGGTACAGCTGACGTGGAAGGGATAGCAGAATTGGTATGAGGTGCTTTGGGAGCTCCCCTGTGCGCATCCCGCTGAGGGACATCGTTGTCATAAACTGCATTGCCGCCGGAGAGCTGCTGTAGGCTCGCCATGGAGCAATAGAGTGAGGAGCTTTCTTGGGAAGCTGGACTTGTCCCAGCAGCGTGGTGTGGGGTAGCTGCTGGAGCTCTGGCCTGCAGAGAATGGAACAGAGTACAGCTCTGGGCACGTCAGGGGGGCTACTCATGCTGCTGCTAAAGAAATGGGTAAGAATATAATTTGCTTTCTGCCTCTAAAAGTGCATCATAAATTTGGGGAGTGCTTTTGAGCACAGGTGAAGTAACTCACCCCTGGGGTTTACACTGATCTTTGAAATAAAGTTGGAAGTCTTTATTTTCCCTGATTGTCCTTTTTTTTTCCATTTCCTGATCTCTTGCTTTGTCTTCTTTTTGTCTTGCTATTCTCCAAATAAATCTCCTGCTCCGATATCTTCAAAGTCCTCTATAAATTCACCTCTCTCTAGGGAAATACTCTTTTGACATCTGTCTTCTAGCCACATAAAATACACTGCATTTAATCTGCCTTCCTCCAGCTTGCCCCTGGGGAGCTCTGCAGCCTGTTTGACGCCCTGCAATCCCCCCAGCACTTCCCTTGTGGCTGATAGACCCCAGCTCCTGCCCCGTCCTTTGTGTTCTGCCTTCTGCCTGTTTGGTTTCACTGGGTCATCCTGCCAGGACTGTGTGAATCCATAGCAGCCACACGTGAAAGTTTTCCTTTTCAATCACCTCCCTCACTCTGTGGGGCATTTTCTGCCTTAGGCAGGCAGTTGGGGTCAGATCTACAGAGATACTTTATGTACCTAAGCTCTCATTGAAACGGTACTTACAAATTAATGCATTTCAACAGAAGTTTAGGTGCCTAAGACCCATTTGTGGGTAAGGCTCTTTAATTTCCCTTGACTCTGCCATGATGGTATCTCACAGCAGGGAAGTCCTGCTGTTCAGGCACCAACCAGGGCACTACATTTGTCTCTGGTCCCATTCCAACTTTTATACTACACCGAGATGTTGTCAGTAGGCCATACAGGCCTGATCATACAGGGCACGATCAGGGTCTGCATCACATCAGTGCTTAAACATACCAGGCTGGCTCGTCTCTGCGGGGTTAATGGAGTTCTCTTTTGCTTTGCTGGGAAGAAAAAGTAAAATCAGGAAAGGATGTTTCAATAAATCAGCAGTGACAAGGTTCCTTTCTACTCACAGAGGGAGTGTTAATTACTAAAGCAGTCCTTGCCTTATTTAATGCACCTTAAAGAATTGAAATTTATTCCCAGTCTGGACCTGGGAAGAGCCATTCTAACAAACGGGAGAAAAACACTGAAAGAAGTATCTGTAGAATGAGTTTCTGAGGGATCCCAAGAGCCCCTCTGAATAAAAGCAGAAAGAAATCTAGTGTACTTGGAGGTGATATTTTATATTCAGTGAACTGGATAGAGGGAAAAAGGCATGGAAAACCTTTAAGCCATCTCATTAGCAAAGATTACATTTTTAAAAGATCCAATAATTTCATTTTCCTAAGGTAGAAAACTCATAGAACTATAATAGGCAAATGAGCAATCACTTCATCTAAATTAATATCAGGGAACTCTAAGTTCCAGTTTTGATTTAGCAGATGGCAGCTGTATAAGAGTTCCTTTAAAACAGGGAAGATTAACACTGTAATTATATGATAGTTTACAGAAAAATACGGATGCAAAATGTAGCTGGATATAGTTTGACTGCATTTACATGGCTAACACTCCTACTTACTTGTAACGTGATTGTTCGCAAGATAGGACAAAAATTTACAATGGCTTTGCAGTCTGGAATTTTAATTTGTTCTTAGTTTACTTCCGTTCCTGGCCTTATGGAAAGAACAGCACATGGGATAAAATAAATTCTTAAAGATTCGATATGACCACACTTGATTGAGAACATCTCAGCAATCAGATGGTATAATTATTAAAGCATTCTTATAGTGCTTTAAGTGATTTTAAGCTGTAAATAGGAGTGGAATCAAATACACAGTAGGAGGAGATCGTATGATAAAACTGCTCACCGTGGTATCTCCTGAAACACCAAAATATGCATATGAGGATGAGTAGACAACATATAGGCACGGATAATGCAGCATAAATAATGTGCAATATCTTGTCATTTCCAGATTCTTGGGATTCTTCTGAGATAGCAGTGATATCTGAAATGGCATTAATTTGCACAAATTTGCACAGAATAATGTTTGACAAGTCATTTTAGCATTAGGTCTTTCTGATGTAACTTGCATCCTAACGTAATTAAAGTATTCTCTAACTTAGTGTGAGCATGCTGTGAGATTACCATTGCCATGGATAGATTACCAAAAGTGCAAAGAAACGAAAATTGTAATTGGTGAATGAAGCATGCTAGAAGACCAGCTGAAACAAATAAGGATCAGAATTAGAGCACTGCTTCGAACTGCCATATGTTTCCATTATGATCTTTCTTCACCTTCTTTTTCCCTACTCTTTGCACTGCAAACAAGGAAGCCTGCTGGGAAGTGTGTATCAGCTGTGAAAAAAATTAATAGCTGAGACTAGAAACAGGTGCTATTATGAGGCATATGGCAGTATTTGACAGGTAAATGATGTTAAGGGTCTGACTTTGAGATCCTTTTAAGTTAGACCCTTTTAAGAACTGGACCTTGAGCTTAGTTTTGCATTACATTTGAAGCTTGTCACCAAAGCAAAAAAGAGATCAGGGCTACTAAGTGCAGCAGATTAGGAGGCAAGAAATGTTCTTGTATCCTGCTCATGGGAATGAGAAGGGAGAACAGAATGAGAGATGAGAAGAAAGACAATGACAGCCATAAATCTCATTTATATATAGATATATGTGTGTATTTTTTTTTTAGGAATAAATTATTGATGCACGCTTTTGAGGTCTGCTGCCGTCTGGTGAATAAAATATGAGCACTACATCAGAGAACAGACCCAGTAGATGATCTTAAGGTATGTGGGTTAAGGAGTTGTCCACTCTAGTCGTATTGTGAACAATAACCAGTAGTGAGCAAAACATATACTTCAGGATATGTTAAAGTGATTTTATAGTGTGATAGTAGTGCGACACTTACACTTTGTAAGTATAAGCCTTATGTATCACCGGGATAATAAAGAGTGTGTGTAAAATCAACAGTGTAGATTATATTGCCAGGAGGTGGTTCGATTGGCTTTGTCCCTTTTGTGTTGAACACAGATTTTTGGTCTTTGGAAATTGTGACTCTTGTATTTTGTTCAAGTGGGAAATATGCAAGAGTAGTTTAGCAATGAGTGTAGATTTGTCCTAAATGCACAAAGCAATTCAGCCAGAAATTCATATCAATACTCATTAGTTCCCTTGTCTTAAAGAGGAAATAAGAATCACAACTTACTTTCTGGTGAACTTGTCATAATGTCTGCAGACTTTTCTGAAGGAGGAAAACAAGAGAAGGAAATGAAATGGCAGCCTGACCTTCGACACTGTATTTGTATTTTCCATACTGCATCCTGAAGTCTTCACAAGTCTCTGCTTTGATTGGGGGATGGAAAAGGGAACAAAATGCAAAAACCAAAGGGTAGTTTGGGGGAGAGGGGTGTTAGAAATGAAGTGTTGCTCCCATTGCTAGCAGAGTAATTCTGTGTTTGAGACCTCTTTGGCATTCAGATAAATAGCTCAGCAGAGCACATGACTGGCAAATGAAGAGGGCACGTTCCAGCACTTGTTGGTGGTATGGTATCTGTGATTAAACCATTCAGTACCTGCTCAGGGATCCGTGCTGTTCCTCTCATGTCAAAAAAAAAAAAAGCATTGTGTGAATTGGGCACGTACTACGTCTGCTGGCAGGTTAGAGCCTTTGGTTTTGATGTTGCTTCTTCTGCTGCAACATTTCCTGTGGCAATAAGTAGGGTCTTACAGCCTGTCAGCTTACTGGGGAAGAACTGGCTGGAGGACAACCTTACAACTGTGCTGGCAATGTCCCTTGCACACTCTGACCTCTGGGATCACTCCCTAGCTGCAGAGCAGCACTGGGGAGGGCAGACATGGCTTGCCACTATCTAGGCTTGGTGTCCTGGCTGCCTAAATTAATAAAAGGGCCTTACTTGCCCTGAACACCTGAAGATCATTTAGAACTATTTTAAGGTTTCCTGTTGTCAGTGTAGAAAACTACACCTTCTCTCTGTCTGTAGCAAGAGTGGTCAGTCTCAACATGAGGTTTGAGTTGCCTTGTGCTCTTTACTGTGCTGTGACCACTGGGTCCTGCCTAGTCCTTGTGGCATATAAACAGACTGACCTCCCAACAGTCTGTCTTTGTTCTCTTTGTTCTCTTGTATATTTCTTATTATCAGAAACACCACTAATGGCTTTTTGGTGGCTTTCCTTTTCTGTTCCAGATCCTCCTTTTATTTATTTATGTAATTTGTTCTTTCCTTTCACCCCTAGCAAGGAAACAAGACACTAACTGACGCGTGAAGAAGGTGGTGGCTACCAGCACAACTGGGTGCACGCTAGCTCTCTGCCGCTATGGAAGAAAAAAGCATGCTTGGAGAAGCCATCTTCCAGCGTGCATGAATTTTCCTGCACACGGAATTCATTTTTAAAAGGTTTCTTTCCTAACAGAAGGGTCTCACCTTCCACAACTACCCTTATCCCATGGCTCTCGCTGGAGCAGGCGCCTGCGGTCGCTCGACAACGGTAAGTGCCACTGTCGTTATGATGGACTGAGAAAAACTCCAGAATGAACTTCTCGTGGGTCGTCCACACTACTCTGCTCTCCTTCAGCAGCACGCATTCGTTCCCTTTGATCTTGCACCACTTCATGACGGGTCTTTCCCTGCGGTAATGAACTGGACAGTGTATAACTAAAGAGCTCCCAAGATAACCTGTGTACTGGGAGTTTCTTTTCACTTGGATTTCAACCGGACAATCAGTGTCATCAGATCCTGAAACAGAAGAAAAACATGTCAAAAAATGTTAGGGTTTTGTTTTTCTGCTATATAAGCCCCGTGACACTAATCACTGCCTCTTTTCTCTCTCATTGCTTGAGACTTCCCTTGTCTGCTTTCAGATCTTATCTGTATATGGGACATTGATAGCAGATAACAGCTGCTAACTATTTTTTCTTTCATTTTAAGCATCATTGCTAAAAGGTACTTTCTCCCTCTGAAATGATTTTTTTTTTCTGTATCTTAGCCAAGTTTGGAATTGAACAGTTTAGAAAAAACAGTATGCAAAACACACATGGCAGGATTTCCTGTGTCATGCTTTTCACAGGCCTTTTATTTTACTTTTAGATTTATTTCAGATCTTTATCTTCTTCATAATTCTTGCTAATTGACAGAAGGAAACATTGCTCTTCCGTAGAGATCTGTTGTAATTAGAATAATTTATATATATGTATATATATATATATGTATATTTCATTATGTTATCTTTATTTCTTGATTTTCTAAACTTTCATTGAACTCAGTGTTCTGGTAAGATACTGCATACCACCTTAACACTGGGTCTTAGTATTGAATCTCCCAATCTTTTATTAAAGATTCTTTTGTCTTGTTTTCCTTGATTTCTCTGTTTAAGTAAAAGTAATGAGAACTATGTGATAGCAAAGTGCTCTCTGCTTTCCTACACTACCCACACCTAAAGAAAACATTAGGTATACCTGTATCTTCCAGCTGAAAGAGGAAAGTAGAAAAAAAAGAAGGTAAAATCCAGTCAAGAAAAGATTTGTAGGTAGGAGAAATGTGTATGGGAAGAGACAACAGTGCAGAGAGGGGAAGGGTGTATCTGCCAGGAGCTTCTGGACTTTGGGGTAGCCAGCATAGGTAAATTGTGAGATGTGAATGTCTCAGGCATACTGTCAACTGCACAATCAGCCAAGATTTCTTATGCATGTGCTATAGCATTACTTGTGAATGCATGGGTAGTACATTCAGGAACCTCAGATGGCCAGATCATGAATTTCCATACAGATATTAGATTCCTCGCCTTTGCAAGACCTTCAAGCTCTTCCTCAACAAATTTCCTACTATTCCACACCATAAATCATGTTGTCTGTTCATAATCTTTGTTGCAAAAGACCTAACATTTGCTAATATTGATTTTTTTATCTTACTTCGTTAAGGTGACTTTGGCAACGCGTGTTTATAAATTAAATCATTGATCTGTCTATAAACCTATTATCTTTAATATTGTTCTAATATTGCCAAATTGTATGTGCCTGAACTTCACTGATAACAGAGAAGAGATTATTCATTGTAAGGCTGAGATTTGTAGTAGGAAACGGTGGCCTCTGATACCTCTCTGCCAAAGGCAGCAGAGAAAGTCACCTGCTGAGAGGACTGGGCATTCTGGGACATGTGTGCTTCCAGGGGGCCACATCATAGATCTTAGATGATACTTTGGTGAGACTCCCCTACCCTTCTCACCTTCAGCCCATTCTGCTCAGACCCATGGCTCCTGAAGTTGAAGAATGAAGATAAGCAATTAGGAAACAGTGACAGGGCTCTGGAAACAGATGGCCTGGGACCAGGAACTCAAGGCCATTTATCTCCCATCTTTACAGGTCAGGGACGAATGTTTATAATTTCCATCATCTGAGGTGGCTGGTAGCTCTAGAAAGCTCTCGGCTTTCTTAGATGGGAGCATGGTTTGTGAAACATCATGTTTTGGAGAAAAGAAAGAACATCTACTATCTTTCTCTTAATCAGGGTGGCTTTAAATAGGGGTCAATGAGAGGGTGAGCAGCAAAAGTACAAAGGCAAGCTGCTTGGACAAGTATTTTAAAATCGATGTTTGATGAGGGAGAAATGGAGGGAATTCAGACACTTTGATGGAGGGCAGAATAGGAACAGGATGCATGATAGTAGATCTTGGTGCAGAAAATGTCTTTTTACTGATGGAAGAAATGTGAATAACAGACAAATAGAACTAGAAACCTTAATACTTTCAATGTTCTTCAGAGCAAAAGGGGAAAAGAAGAATAAAATTGGTTGGGCTTGGCAAGGCAAGTTTCAGTACATTTAGAGAAGCTGACATTAATTCCTTAAATACATAAATATGAGGAAAATGAGATAAGCAGAGCTGGTGGTTCATCCTGGATAGAAGGAGTATAAGCACTATCTTTGGTACAGATGTGTAGTAAAAGACAGCTTGACTGAACCACCAGCATGTCCTTCCCTGAGACAAAAAGAAATTATAAACAGGTTTATATGAGGCTATATGTTGAATAACTCTGAGTCCAGTTCTTAATATTGTTTTCTGTGATGACCTAGATGAAGATTAAGAAAACAAATCTATTAAATTTGCAGATGTTAGAAAGATGGCAAGTTATAAACACCAAAGAACAGGCTTAGACTTATGTGTGATCCTGAGATGTGGCCTATAAGGAAACAACATACAAGGAATGATAGGTGCAATACACCAAGACTTCATAGGAACAATTAATAATGCAACTATTGGATGGAAATAACTATTTTAATGGCAGTTTGTGCAGAAAAGGTTTTGGGGTTTAGAGTGGCAAAGCAAATCAGTATTGCTGATTGCCTTTTTGCAGGCAAGCTGAAAGGGAATAGGCAAAGTCACACTGTCATGAAACAGCCATTTCAAGGGAGGTATGACCAAAAGCAATGCAGATAGGATACATGAAATAATCTTTGTGTTCTACTCAAGAATGGAAGGTAGTATTTTATTATTGAACAATTTTTGGCATTGTTCTTCAAGAAAAATGTAGGACATTTCATGGAGCCTTTCTGAATTGGACAGAAGCTAGACAATATCATGAGCATGGTAAGATGGACCCAAACAACAGACTGAAATTTTTGGAGTTCCTTAATCGAAAGAAAAGACGTTAGAGGAAAGGACATAATAAGAGCTTGTAAAGACATTAAAAGCAAATGAAGTAATCTGTTTTTCATGTTTGATATGGATTTGGACAAGAAGTAACAGTCTGAAAGGGATAGACGGATTACATAGTATGAAAAGCTTCCCAGAAATGAAAACAGTAAAACACTTGAACTAGGTTTTTTTGGAAGATTGTCAAAGCTTGAGTGACTGACAGCTTTAAGCAGTAAGCTAGACTGTATCTGTTGGGATGATACGGCTCAAGTCCTCTTGGGACCAACTAATCCCTTGATGCTCAATACAGACCTACCTGTTGACTATATGTAGCCATGTGTTAAATTCATGGATAAAGAGACAAAAAATGCATGTGAAAACTCGGCAAAGATACACTGACTTATGTGCTTAACGCAGCAGTCCTGTTGATGGAGAAAGATCTGTGGCAGTGAACCACAGAAAGCCCTCGGGCTCACGTGCATTACCACAGTAGGAGCTCCTAATTGTAAAGAAATGCATGGTGCACAGGAAGAGCTAGTCTGCAAGGTCCCATCTAAATATGGTCATGGCAGCAATAACGGAAACATGTAGCCTAGCCATGTTTACCACTGGGACATGCATGTCCTGCCCAGTGATTTGGGTTCAGGTGAGTAGGTCTGGGTGACTTAAGTCATGCTGCTGTAGCGGCATGTGGCTAGCAACAGCCTGAAAATGGAAACACAGAGCTCAAATTAGAAAGTAGAGGTTTCAATTATTTGACCGATGATTGTTGTGGAAGATAAATCTCCAGAAACTATCTGTTATGGTCAGATTTTTTGCCTTGATTGCAGCCTTCTTTCAAGTATAATCCTGTCTATCAGAGATTCTTACAAGAATCTGCAAGTTTCTGCAGCTGATATTGTGAAGCGTCTGATGTCCTCCATCTAAGCACTTTACCACATAGCTTTTATTTTATTTTATTTTATTTTATTTTATTTTATTTTATTTTATTTTATTTTATTTTTTGGGGGGAGGATATTTCTCTTTAGGAAAAGAAAAAAAATCGGAAGCATTCCTTGTTCTTTAGATGAAAGACTGAAATACTAAATAGAGCAAGTGTAATATACTCGAGCTCATACCACAGCATTAAAAAAAAAAAATCCCTCCCTAAAACTTCCTCCACTACTACCAGTAAAGCTAAGGGAAAAAATTCCCTTGTGGGGGAGATTGCTCATGAAAATTTTGGATCACGTAGTATGTTTTAAGAGTTGGAATAAAATATGCTAATTTGCTTGCCAGGCAAGCATAAGTAGCGTTTTTCCCCCTTCGAGTACCTGTGCCAACATGTGCTGCAAGTTTGTTCCTCTATCTTTGGTGGTTATTCATTTTAAGAGTATAGTTCTGATGTAATCTTGTTTGGTTAAATAATATGTAGTTACCAAAGCAAACTGGGTTCCCTGCTGTCTCGTGGGCCTGAGTCCAATGTCCCTCACTCTCTCCAACGGTTACTTATAACGTAGATCATTGAGTTTTGGGACCTGCATGTGGGAAACCTTTCCCTGTGCTTACTGCCTAGCCCAGCGCATTCTCACTGCCTGCCTGTGACGTCTGGGCACTGAAGTCCTCCTGCATAGCTCAGGAGCTCTTTCACATGGAAGCCTCCTTGGCAATGAGCCATATTCTGGTGACTTCTAGTCTTGGTTTGCAGCTGCTGATACAGGTGAAAGTGTTTAGCAGCCTGCTGTTAATTAGCCCTCACACGTAAAATCCTCTGTGGCATTCTTCCAAAATGGAGGGGGTTTGAAAATTGTAATATTTCTTTTTCTGCTTTCTTCATTTTGCTCTGCTCCCCTTC